AAATTTGAACAGGGTGCTTTTTACCCCCTCGTCCAAGTCTGGTGTCTGGTGCCAGTCTGGTGTCTCATTCACCCTGGCCCTGCATGATGTGCACCCATATACACCAACACAAGCTGAGTGTACAGCACTATGGAATCAGAGTGAGGTGCTGTTCATATGCCCGGCAGCATTAACCATGTGGGCTTCCAAATATCATGAGTAAGGCACCAGAAGGTCGTAATGGCCCAACCTCAGCAGATTTTAAAATGTTGAGTATACGTTATTTGTGTGCATGCCTTTCAGTGTCACCTTTTCAAGCTTTCGTTTGCAAGCAGCAGACCAAAAGGTTTCTTTGAAATGTAACCTGAGTTTTTTCACAAAATCACAGGGCCCCAGCAATCAGAGCCAACACACCAGCTGTTGTGGGTGAGACTCATTGTAAAATCACAGGAGTAAGATGCAAAAAGAAGGAGAATGCCACTTCATAGAAATATTTAGCTAGTCACTGGAGTGGGGCCTTGAAACTACATCACTCACATCCCAGGGGAGTGCCCCAACCAGTGGGGCTGGCTCTTGAATTCAGGAGATTAAGTGGAACCTTGTAGTCCAAATCACAGCCCAGAGCAGTCCAGGGCACTGCATGCGGGCTGTTATGCTCCAGCACAAACCAGTAGAGCCCAGCTGGTGTTTGGTGATCAGTACACATTGGAAGAAAATATAATGGCTGCAAACATCCCTCAGGTTCCTTAAGTGCCTCTGAGAGACTCAGCGGGTTACATTCTTTGGTGAGACTCTTTACCCCTGCAGGGCTCCCATCTTCTTTAATGCGACCTGACAGTATCCCACACCTCTAACAGCCAGGCCTTTTTAACACTAAGGTTTGAAGACATGGGCCATCATGACACAGGGACAGTGGTCCTGGCCACTGGTGCCCATTACAATCTCAGGGGTTGCACATGCACCCGTGTGCACTCCCTACTTGGCACCAATGCTGCCACCTCACCTGCACTGCTGTGACTCGCCACTAGAGGCTTGGTGAGCAGGGGCAGGACTAAGAGCTAGGGGAAGGACATACTTGCTGCTCCCACCAGGGAGAGCAAGTGCTGCTGCCCTGGAGTGCCTGGCAGCTGCCATGCCTCCCACCACCG